TTGCGAGGCAGGCGGCAGAACCACTGAGCTAAATTTCTGGCCCTCTTTACAAATTCTTTTTGCATAATTGTCTTTTTTTTAACTGCACACTTCACACTGTTGTGTTGGCCTTTCCTTTTTTTCCTGTGGGTAGTATAATTTCAATAAAATGTCCACCACTAAATGGAATGGTGAAGATATGGATGATGGATGTCCTGGTTGTGTTTCACTATCCCATATTTTTCAAAATTGTAAATGAATTTTTGAACCCCCTTCTTCTGAATAAATTGTTATTTATTTTATGAGCTCCATATTGTCCGGTCCAAGAGGTGCAAAAATATCTTATAATAGTATTTTTTTTTTTTCGGTACCAGGGATCAAACTCAGGACCTTGTGCTTGCAAGGCAGGTGGCAGCACCACTGAACTAAATCCCCTGCCCTTATAATAGTACTTTTTTCCTAGCTTTTTGATTACAGGGTAGCTTGTTTTCCTCTGTGATATGCTAACATTTCTCCCTTTTTCAGATTTTTCTTTTGCAGATCTTTTGCCACTTCCTTCCTATTCAGTCTTGATGTCCTAGATGTATCCATTTTGTATTGTAAAAGAATATCACTGAGCCACACATGGTGGTGCATGCCTGTAATCCCAGTACTCTGGAGGCCAAGCCAAGAGGTTCGTCACAAGTTCAAGGCCAGCCTGGATTACATAGCAAGACACTGTCTCAAAAACAAACAAACAGAAAAAATAAAAAATAAAAAAAAGAATATCACTGAGTTCTGGAATAAAAATTATATCTGACATACTTACAATAAGAGTAGTTATAAATTAAGCACAAAATTATAGGTTATTTTTCACAAATAAACATGAATTAGTAAAAAAATGACAAGAATTTATTAGATTTCACTAGAAACAAACATCAAAGGGAAATACATAAATAAAGAAGTATTAAAATAGTTGAAATAAAACAAATAAACAGATGTATCTTGTGCAAATAAGAATTGACTGGTTGAAATGACCCTTGTGGAGCTCAGGATAGTCACACTCCCTCCCTGGAGGTAAACTCCAGGCACATTCAGCTATCTGATCTTTGACAAAGTGGCCAAAGTATAAATCATCTCTGGATTACTTATAATATATAATGCAATCTAAATGGTATGCAAATAGTGATACAATATTGTTTAAGGAACAAGGACAAGGAAAAAACGCTGCACTTGTTCAATATAGATGCAACTTTTAAAAAAATTGTTTTTAAAGCTGGGCATGGTGCTGCATGCTTGTCATCCCAGTACTCAGGTAGGCTAAGCAGGAAGATCTCAAGTTAGAATCCAGCCTAGGCAATTTACTGATTTAATGAGATACTATCAAGAAAGAAAGGAAGAAAGAAAGAAAGAAAAAGAGAGAAAGGGCTGAGGATACAGGTAAGTGTGAAGGCCTGGGTTCAATCTCCCAGTACTGAAAAAAAAAATTGTTTTTGATTTTCAGTTCATTGACTCCAAAAATGCAGAATCCACAGGTAGGATTGGCTGACAGAAACAAAGGACCTGAGTGAATCACTCCCTTCCCTCCATTCAACTGTAAACACCACACCACCCTAACGTTTGTCCATGCTTCCACTATCCTAAAAGAGGTAGGCAAGGTAGCAGATCACTGACACCAGAGAGAGAGGCAGGCAGCCACTAGAGCCAGAGGTGTCTGATCATTTAAATGCTGGAAGCCTGAGTCACTGAGAGGCTCCTTTTTTCCCCCCTTTCCCCTTTTGCCTGTTCCTGCTGCTACCATCCTGTGATCTTCAATAAACGTAGCTATTTACTACATATTATGAGGTGTATGCATGGCAAGTTTTTTCATACATAAGATCCTGGACTATTTCTGGCCCACTCAACTGTAACAATCTGAGATCCAGCCAGTTTGGCTTATAGGCATCCTGTCCTCAAAGATAAACAAGATTAGCAAGGGGTAGAAATTAGGTCAAGTAAGATAGGGTGGAAATTCAGCTAGGTTCGTGATTAGAGTGGGATGATATTCTAAGACATCCATTGTTCCTTCATGGTCTGTATTTTCTTTATTATAAAGAGTAAAAAACCTAACTTGTTTAACTACAGATATTCATTAACATCTAAAACCATCCTTTAATTTTATGTATTACACAAAAGCATACATTTTATAAAAGGACTATATCATACTTGCTAGAGTCCTTTTTATTTTTTAAGTGCAGCTTTTCCCCTTTGCTTTCTGCACACCCCTTCCTCCCATTTAGTAAGAAGAGACTACTGTGGTCTTTGGTTGGAGGACACTGACAATATGCTTTGGCTCTTTTCTCTTAGGATACTTGCCGAGGTGGAGTGGGGAAACCAGTTGCCAAGTAAGGAGACCAAATATGGTGAATTCATCAGGCTGTGAGGAAGACTTTGTAGTCTACAATTAGAGGTCACATGGAGTGCTCTAACCTCCACTCCACTCCCTGCTTTTAACTTCATCTGTCTTTTAACTAACTTGCTGAGAGACCTGGAGCCAGAATTGTCTGGCCCACACCTCCCTAACCTCCTGCCCCACAGAAACCACAAGAGATAATTAAATGTTTGAAGCCACAAAGACTTGGGATGTTTCCAGACATACAATAGATAATATAAAGTTTTTGGTTATGGAAGGTGCTTAATAGCAGTTTGTTGTTGTTTGTGTTTTTTGCACTTGTGGTAAGTAAGGTTATCATGTGCAAAATTCCTAACATCTAATACTTTTTACAGTAAATTTCCTTTGACAAAAACATGTGGACTGGTGCCTTAGATTAACTCAATATCTTTTAATCCTGATACCAACCAAAATAATGTTGACTGGTCAATACTGCTTGGGAGATGTGCTCATTTTGGAGCAATACTAGAGGTACTATTGTCGTCCCCCCCCCCTCCATTTTGGGAATCCCCAAAACTTAGGGCTTTACATTGAGCTACATTTCCAGCCTTTTTTATTTTTCACTTTGAGACAGGGTCTCACTAAGTCGCTAAATTGCCCAGGTTGAGCTAGAACTTGTGGTCTTCCTGCCTCAACCTCTCAGAGTGCTGGGATTACAGGCATATGCCTCGATGCCTAGTAATAAAATCTTTTGTTTCTTTCCACCATCCGCTATTTTATTTTAGATTGGGGATTAAACCTATGGCCTCCAGCATGCTAAACACCTGCTAAGCACACACTCTTCTCCTGAGCAACACTCTCAGATCTCTTCAACCCTTTCTTAAAGTTACTTATGTTGACATGTATTCTACACTTTTCTCCATACCATATATATGCATATATTCAAATAAAATCTGATTTAGTAAGGAAAGACTCTGAAGTTCTTGTAGACGGTATACTTGTAATTCTTGAAGTTATATTTCATTTTTCAAAGTCTATTTTTTCCCCCCTTAGACTCTACTTACATAAGTGTCCAGTCCACCTGGGAGGCTGAGGAAGAAGGAACACGAGTTCCAGGACTGTGCGGGCCACACAGTGAGTTCAAGGCCAGTGAACAGCGTACTAGTGAGACTGTCTCAAAAAACCCAGATGAGGGCCGGGGATTTAGCTCAGTGGCACCGGGTCTGCCTCACGAGCACAAGGTCCTGAGTTCGATCCCCCGGTACCAAAAACAAAAACATAAAACAAAACCAAATAAATACATAAAAGGTCATCTTGAACATACCCTTTTTTAAAAAAAAAAAATTTTTTTTTTAACATACCCTTTTTTTTTTGTTCCCCTCCTCCCGAAAGGAAGGACGTGGAGCAGGAGAGGTGGCGGAGGGGATGTTGGTATGCAAGAACCTTTTTTTCGTTTTCCTAATCTCCTTTCTGGAAACAAGGGCTCAACCAGACCCACCGACCTCTTCCTGTCACCCAGTCAGGAACTTTGCCACCTCAGCTTTCGGTTCTCCTCAGCCCCGCTCAGTCCCAAGGTCTTGGGAGGTGTGGTCTGGGGACCTCAAGGGGCGTGGGACGGGGGCGGGACGCTCAGGAGGCGTGGCATGGGCTCGGGGGCGCGCAGAGCGCAGCCTGGAAACCCTCAGCAGTGCGGAAAGAAAGGCGCGCGGCGGGCCACCCAACAAAGACTCGCTTCCGGGATCCTTTTAGGCTCTCACCCTTATTTGGGGAGGAAGGGGAACAACCAAAACGGCTCTTCAGTTCCAGTTCGACGGGACTGTCAGCCGGGCGTGGTGGCGCATGCCTGTAAACACAGCACTCGGAGGCTGAGGCAGGATTGCCCGCAAGATGGCAAGATCGAGGCCAGCCTGGGCTACATAGTGAGTTCAAGGCCAGCCTGAACTACATAGCAAGGCCCTATCTCAAAAAACAAAGCAAAACAAACAAACAAAAAAGATGGGGCTGTAGTGTATAAATCAGAGGGAGAGAAGCTGGAGATAAAGCAGAGGCCAGTCCTCCCTCCAATTAGCAAAGTTCAGGCAGTGACTAACTGCTTCTTTTTGTTTTGTTTTGGGTCTCACTACGTAGTCCAGCCTGGCCTTGAACTCACTCTTTGGCCTAGGCTGGCCGGAAGCTGACAGCAATCCTCCTACCTCAGGCTACTGAGGGCTGGGATCATGGGCGTGCACCACCAAGCCTGGTTTAACTCCCTCCTTCTTAGGGTGGGACAAGCGAGGACTCAGTAGCGATAACCCTGGATCACTTCTTTTGCTGAGTTCCAACAGGGAGCCATATAAACCTGAAATGCACCTTGAGTGCCGCCCAATACCAAAGCTGGACTGCTAAACTGGAAAAAAAAAACCAAACCCGCCCATTCTCCTCCTGCCTCCCCAGCGGTGACCGGCTGTAATCTGCGAAAGTCTCGTCTGGCCCTTGGGCATCTGGACGGTTAATAATTGGTGGCAGAGGGAGCCGGGCGAGGAAAGAGGGGAACGCGAGCGAGCACGCGATTCAGGCAGAACCAGCGCCGCGCGCGAGCCGGATTCCCGCCAGCCGCACAGGCGCCGCCTTCCGTTTTGCGGGTCCGGGCGCCTCGGGGAATTCCGGGCGCGCGAACGGCGCGGGGGTCCACATGGAGGCCGAGTCCTCGTCCGGCCCCGGGGGCCCGCAGCCCGGTGCGCTGCAGCCCGCGCGCGCACTCGGGAGCCTGCTGCTCAAGATCCGAGGCAAAGTCTTCACCTGGTGAGCGGCGCGGGACGCGCGGGCGGGTGGCGCGCACGTGTGCTGCGCGGGAGCAAAGGTGGCGACTGCTCGGACTTCGGCTCCCGGCGCCCTGCGCGCCTTCCGAGGGTGTTGCGCCTCACCTGGCTTCCGAGGCGCGTGGTGCCCCTCCCTTGGCTCCCTTGTAGATCATAGCGATGTATTTCGGAGGATTTGGGGGAAATGCACCCGGCTGGCATTGTTGGGCGGGGCCTTCCTGACCTCCGGCGGGGAGGGGACCTCGTCCCCAGGGATGCGGTGAAGGAGGGGTGCCCACCCTCGAGTCTGGCAGGTGGATGAGCCCCACTTTCTGGCCGCGCACCCGCCTTCCCTCCGCCTCCCATCCGGTCAGACCGGGCCAGGTGATCTCTAACATGAGCTCACTCAAATAAGAAATCCAGGTTAAGTTTTGCACAGCTGCCTGCCTCATTCGTGGGCCCGAGCGAGGTGACGTGGTGGCCACCTGCGGGGCCGGAGTCCAGGGAAGCCTTTTTCTGGTATCCCAGTTCTCTGTGGGAAGGTTCTTAAGGAGTTGGCAGCGACTCCATGGAAAGCACTCCTGTGGTTATTGGAGGACTTTGGATAACGAAAGCCATTTACTGAGCAGTGACTCAGTGCCAGGCGTTGTGCTTAGCAATTTGCCTGAATAATGACATTTCATCCTCACTTTGGGAGGTGGCACTATTGTTATACCCACTCTGCAGACTGAGAAACAAAGAAGCTAAAGCAGTTACCTGAAAGGGTGCTGCCAACGAGTCTAACCTGCACGGTAACCACTTCTGGCCGCTGGCATCTCGTAAAACGCACGTTTCAGTTTTTTCCTTTGTATCGACAAGCCGAATTCCTCTTTAGAGATTGTAAAAAGCCGTACCATTTTCAAAACTAGATCGATAAAGGTGTATACATTCTTGTTGTCTGTATTTTTAAATAGATGCATGCATTTAAAGGAGAAAGTTGGCCAAAAAATCACCTTATTCGCTCTGTCTCCTTTAGTTGTGTAGGTCCTGATAATGTAGTTGTAAATGCTCAGCTAGGAGGCAGTATAGTGGCACGGCTAAGGGCATAGATTCTGGATTCAAATCCTAGCTGGACAGCTTCAGCTGCCACTTAATTTCTCTGTGTTCCAGTTTTATTATTTTAACATTTAATTTAATTAATTTATTTTTTGAGATAGGTCTCATTATATAGTCCAGGCTGTCTGTGAACTCAATATCCTTGTATCTCATCCTCCCAAGGGCTGGAATTACAGGCGTGCACCACCATGCCCGGCTCAGTGTTCCTGTTTTTAAAATGGAGATTGTGTATGGGTATGGTGGTGCATGCCTGTAATCCCAGCATTCTGAGAGGCTGAGACAGGAGGAATGAAAATTCGAGCCCAGCTCAGGCAATTTATTGTCTTAGTGAGACCCTGTCTAAAATTTTAAAAAATGGAGCCAGATCCAAACACTCAGAAAGCTGCAAGTTTGAGGCCAACCTGGGCTTCAACCTGGGCTACATAGTGAGACCATCTCAAAAAACTTAAATAAATAAATAAATAAAATTTAGAAAATGTCTGGAGATGTAGCTCAGCATGAAGGCCCTGAGTTCAATCCTAAGTAATGAACAATAAAATAAAATAAAATTCAGACAAAACAGTAGCAGTACCTACAAGGCCTAGAAGTGTAGTTCAGTGATATAGCACATACTTAACAAGTGCAAGGTCCTGGGTTCAATCCCTATCACCAAAAAACCCCCTCCAAACCAAAGCAACAGCAAGAAAAAAACCCCACAAACCCCCAAACCTCAAGATGGTGCTTACCTTGTAGGAAGATGTGAGAATGAACTGATGGACTACACAGCAGTGGGCAGACAGATTCTTCCTCATTTCAGTGCCTGTGTGGCTTAGCTATCTTCCTTCCTGGCTAGTGGGAATGTGTGGTGATTCTCTGGGAGATGCCAGCAGACCTGAGGTTGGGGCAGACCATATGGCAGATCTCTGTTTAGCGAGATGTAATAATATTTTTCTCATAATATTCTATGTTTTCAGAGTCACAGGGTGTTTTACAACCTGTAGAGTCTAGTAGCTTCCTAAACATGAGATTTCTTCAGCCTCTGAATGTACTTTCTTTTGTACTTCCCTGGGGTTTTTTATTTTATTCCTCATCTTTGGATATTTGTGGGTATTTTAGACTCCCAATAGATGAACTATCCCTCTCTCCCTCCTTTCCTTCTTCCCTCCCTCCTTTCCTCCTCCCCACTCTCTCTCTTTCTCTCTCTCTCTTTTTTGAGACATGGTATTCCAGATATTCAGGTTGGCCTTGAACTCACTGTGTAGTCCAGGCTGGCCTCAAACTCTCAGTAATCCTCCTGCCTCAGCCTACCAAGTGCTGGGATTACAGGCATGTGCTACCATGCTGGTTTATCCATTATTTCTTATACTTAGTGCTTTCAACTCCATTACTAAATCTCATCTCCCAAGTTCTAGTTTAGCTTAGTGAATCCCCGTCCCTGGCTAGGGAACCATGGGGGGTTGGCTAGAGACTACTGAATAGGTATGATGTGTTATCACCTATGAACAGGGTATGGAGAGATAGTTTGCAACCGCACAGCTCTTTGCTATTCCTTTTACAAATAAGAGGCAAGAAGGGCCCTTGGCAACCTGGGTACTAACTATTGGGGAAAGTTTGAGCCCTAGAGTTGGTTCTGTTATCATAATAAGAAGCATATATTCTAGGTGACCCCAATTCCTCATGTACTTGCCTCTTTTAGGGTAGATATAACTTTTCTCTATGATTAATAGATCAGGCTACTCATTCAAGTTTATTGAGCACTTGTGCTAGGCATTTGTGATAATGAGCCCCATAAGTTTCCAAGTAGACTGACTAGACCTTCCCTTCCCTTCCCTTCTCTCTCCTCCCCCCCGCCTCCCCTTCCTTTTTCTTCTTTTATTCTCTCTCTCTTCTTTTTTTGGTAGTACTGGGAATTGAACCTAGGGTCTTTTCACTGAGCTATATCCCCAGAACCCTCCTTTAAATATTTTTGAAAATTTTTATTTTGAGATAGTGTCTTACTTCGTTCCTAAATTGTCCAGACTAGGCTCAAAGGCTCAAACTCCTGGCCCTCCTTCCTCAGCCTCCTAATTGCTGGGATTACCGGAGTGCACCACCATGCCTGACAATTGCTCTTTAAAGTTTTTTTTTTTTTTGGTACCGGGCAATGAACTAGGGACCTTGCACTTAGAAGGCAGGCAGTGGCACCACTGAGCTAAATCCCCAGCCCTGCTCTTTAATTTTTACTTTTGTCACTTATTGTTGTCAACTCAAATGAAAAATACTGTAACAGAAGGCCATGGATTTTCAGAAGTACCTAAGGGTACTTATTTTATACCATTAGGTAGTTTACATTCTGACATGTAAATCCTAATCTATTGATATACTTAAAATGCATATGTATTTAAAAAATAATTTAAAAAATGCATATGTAATCTGTCTTATTACAACCATCAACTTTAGCAAAAACTTTTATTTATTTACTTTTGGTTTTTGAGACAGGGTCTCACTATGCAGTTCAGACTGGGCTTGAACTCACTATGTAGCCCAGGCTGGCCTCAAACTCACTGAGATCCTCCTGCCTTAGCCTACTGAGTGCTAGGATTACAGGCGTGTGCCACTATGCCCAGTCTAGCAAAACCTTTTAATTAGTATTTGTCTTTTCCCTATCACATAGATGGTAAACTTTTTGAAGGCATAGATTTTTATCAGATTCTTTTTGTAGCACAGAGCTAGACATGGTTCATTCATTTGCCAAACTGAATAACATTCTAGACACTAGATTGGCTTTTCTGGCTATGGTGGTGAGTAGGATTTAGTTACTACTCTCAAGAAAGCTCATAATCAAAGTGTAGTAAGAAGTTATGTTAGGGGCTTTTATGGCACAAAGTAGGGCAAAATCAAGCTCAACAGAGTGAGGCAGAATCGGGGAACTTTAAGCATCAGTAAGAGTTTTCCAGCTGGACTAGTTGGGGAAAGGTAGTCTGGGCATGGCACTACCCATGAAATATGTTTTTCTGTCTTGTTTAACGGAGCAGGTAGGTGACTTTCCCAGGACATATGGCTAGTTTCTAGAGACAGAGCTGAGATACTTTCGTTTGATTCGAAAACACAGACCTGCTTTATTATTTCTGAAATCTCACATCTTTTTCAGTCTGAAAGGTTTTGGGACTCCTCTCATCACCTTTGCTAATGGTTTGCAAACTGGGGCACTTTGGGTGTTTCCTGGAAGTTCCTTAGGGTTCACGGTGGGGGACAAGTACAGAGTTGGAGCTGGTGAGCCTCTCTGTCAGCTCCTGATGCCCACAAGATGTGTTACTGTTACCTATTTGTTTTACAGGTGGGCTTTCATGCAAGATGTCTTAGTCCATTTGGGCTGCAGTAACAATACTGGAGACCATGTGGCTTATGAACAACAGAAATTTATTTTTCACTGTTTTGGAGGCTGGGAAGTCCAAGGTCAAGGTACTTGGAGATTAGATGTCTGGTGAGGCCATCTTCTCCCAGAAGGGGTCAGACAGTAATCTGCAGTCTTTTTTATGGGGGCATAATTCCAGTTGTTACCTAAAGCCCCACCCCCAAATAAATACCATTACATTGGGGATTATATTTCAACATATGAATTTGGAGGTACTGATCAAACATTCATTCTGTAGCTGTGTTGCCTGAAAAAAGAGTCCAAACAAGTCTGAAAGCCACTGGTTTCTAGAGAGAGCTTAAACTGCTGCTGCTGGTCCCCTTTCTCTCCCTCCCCTTTCTTCTTTCTGTTTACCTGTATGTAATAATTATTTTTCATTGGTTTTTTAAAAAATTGTGGTAATATGATTCAGAAGCGTTAAGGATATTTACAGTGTTGTGCAGCCATCACCACTGTTCACTTAGAAAACCTGCTTATCATCGCTAACAGAAACTTTGTACATGTCAAACAGCTCAGAATCTCTTTCCTCCCTGAGG